AGAAATGCTGTGTGCGAAGTAACAAAGTCAGGCCTTGAAGCCAGAGTATGATTTGATAGAATTGTGTGGAGACTGGTTCTGCCAAAGGTGCGACGAATTGTAAGATGGATCTGCCTTGATCCAGAATGCATGTGATGTTCTTGAATTGTTTTTGTCGGAAAATTGTTGTGTGATCAAGTGTCTGTCGGTGTTGAATCAAGTGCTGTCGGAGTCACTCTGTCATCTGACTGATGATGGCGACGAGTTTGATCAGTGCTGGGGAGCCAAATTTGTCGATGGCTTTGGGTGGGACACCCCAGGCGACTGCAGCGGTTTGCAGTGTTTGCTCTTGTGAGCTGCTGAGTGAAGGGAATTCCGAAGCAACAATGTCAAGGTACTTTTTAACCTGTGTTTTTTGTTTGTCGCTGATGCCTTTGATGGCACCAAACCATCTGGTGATGCCGGATTCGGAGTGAACGCCAGTGAAGTGGTCTTGAAACCAAACACTGGCTTTTGTAGGCTGCTGGAAGATGCGCTGGGGATCCATCTTGGGATCGAGGGGTGCCGCCTTCGTTGGTGTAAGAGTTGACTGCTTCTGTCGCTTGGCGCCCAGAGTGGAGCGTCCCGGGAAGTGCATGCCTGTGGTGGATGACGATGCTGGGGAAGTATGTAACGGGTTGTTGTCTTGTTCTGCAGCGGTTGTGGTGAAGGGGGATAGGCCCTCCGTGGTAGGCTTGGTGTTGGTGTGTGTAGGGTCATCGATGGTGGCCCGTTTTTGTCCACGGGTGGTTGTGGTGGGAGAAATCTCAATTGTGGAAATTGAGAGAGGTGGTGGGGAGGGCGTGTTGATGGGAGTACTGGGCGTGGTGGATTGTTTTGGTTTCTTTGATGCTGGTGTGCTGGGGGCCTCATTGTGTGCTTCCGGCGCACGGAGAGTTTCAATTGTCTCCAGTGCTGTTGAAAGTCGTGCTTCAAGGTCGCTGATGCGATGGGCCGCCAGAGTGTCAGTCTCTGTCGGCTGCGAAGGTTGAAGTGGGAGATGAGGTTGTGGTTTGCTGGATTGTGGTGGTGTTGGAGATTCGGTGGGTTGCGATTGTGTGTTGTCTGTGTCAGATTTGACATCTTGCTTGTCCTTTTTGTTGCCATCATTGTACTGGTCCTGCAGCTCTTGCAGGTACAACACCAATTCCTTGATGAGGTGTGACATTGCTGGTCGTTTTGCGAGTTTGAGCTTTTCTTGCCAGCAGAATGCGGTGGCCGCTTGGTCCAGATCAATTCTCCTTGCTCGGAGTTGACCCATAAGTTCAGTGGTAAAGACGGCTTCGCTGATGTGTTTGCTGCATGTGAGATGGATGTCGAAGCCGTGTGCGGCGTACCGTAGCCAGTACGAGGACCAATCGTGTCGCAGAAATGCGACCAATGGTGCTGTTGCGATTGGCATGCCTGCCGTGCGGTTGTGCACTGAATGTGGTGTAGATTGAATGTGTTTGGGTAGGTTGAGGCCAAAAAGCTGCCTGTTGTCCCAATGCTCTGGTGTTTGAACAAAGTCGTTTGGTATCTGGGGATTTGCAGGCGTGGGATTGGGGTGTTGCTGTTGTTGGGTTGCGACGGTGGCTTGAGGTAATGTATGTGACGAAATGCTGGGGTTTCGAGTCGTCATCGGAGATGGACTCACAAATGTGTGTTGGGGAGTGGCAGGTGTGGGGGTTGGCAGTGTGGTGGGTGGAATTGGTCCGGGAAACTGTTGGGGTGGGGGAGGGGGTGGAGGGAAAGGTGGGAAAGTGTTGTTGTGGCTGTAAGTGTGAGCTGAACCCCAAGTAGTCGGGATTGGTGATGAGGTGTGTGGTGGGATGTTGTGGATCCCTGGTGGTGGGGAGATCGAGTGCAATGGGGTGCTGCTGGTCGAGGTTGTTTGTCGCTGCACGGTACTGATTGCTGTACCGATGATGCCTGTTGGCATTGTTGTATGCCACTGAGGCTGTGTCGGCTTGTACATGGTTGCACAGTGGGGCACTACAGTTGCCTGTGACTGCAAAAGCTGCACATGGAACATGCATGAGCAACCTGGTTGGCTTGAGTGTCAACATCAACTTGTGCGAGGCATCCAGCATGCAGCTGCATCGAATCTTCTTTGGCTCAAAAGCGAGGTCGGAGCAAATGCCTGATTGCAAACAACTATGTGTACAGGGATTCAGGCCTGGAAGAAAAAGTACTAGAGAGTTACAGGAAGACACAGAAGAAGAAATCAACATCACTGAATGAGGCCGAATCCAACGATGCTGAAGTGCCCGGAGTGGAATCCCCACTTCTCCGGGGTCCGCGCAACACCCTTTCGCCCCACGATGAAGGCTTCTCTGTACATGTCCCGATACGTCATCTTGTAATGCTGATACTTAGTCCGTATTGTCCCGATGACGATCACTCCCTGTTGGCCCTTGGGCCGCCGCGTACATTGATCGGTAACTATATGTACCGTGCTTTCCGACACATCTCCTGGGGTTGCATTCCCGTATATGACGCAAGAGGGAATGGGTGGATAGGACTTGTCGTCGAAGCAATGGCTGATAGAACTTGGGCGGACCAAGTCCTCACGCATTATGCGTGCGGCACTTGCACTGCTCGTGCCGTGTCCGGCGGTGTAGATGTATGTTTCCCCTGGTGGGTCAGTGGCACGAGTGCCGAATGCTCTGCGAGTTTCACCAGCCCACGGGATGAATAACATAGTATGCACGCCGTCCGATATTGGCGTCAGCGTTGCTCCCAATTCGTTGCACGCTGAGCGCGTGCCCGACTGTAATACGGCATGCGCGAATTCGGCTAAAGTCTCCTGCCTGAAATCGCTGTCAGCAGCTATCTCGCCCAAAGTTTTGGCGAGTTTGTGCGCTTCCTCCAAGTCGACAGCGTGGGGTGTCGGCTTTTCATGATCATAAAGTTCAGAGAAAGGCGCCACATCAATCTGTGGTGGTCTGCTCTGTTTGCCCAGTTGTTCGAGGGTTGGCTGACCCGATGGGGCAGCAGTTGTGGATGCATCGAAAGTCGGAGCAGGTGTCCGAACAGAGCTGGGGGGATTGTGCCGAAGCTGTTGGCGCGAGGATGTGCCCTGGCTTGTTGGGGGCTGCTGTTGTGCTGCTTGGCTGCCCTTGATGCGGAGGGCGATGCGCTGAACCTGCGAAGCCAATGTTTTTTGGGGGACCTTGGGTGGGGTAGGTGGCCTTTGACGTGGCTGTGTGGCTCTGTAATGCCACTTGTTGGCATCATCATCACGCACTGTAGAATAGCTGCGGAGCACAACCGAGGTCCGAGGAGGTGTCGATGAAGCTCGCCTGGTGTCCCTGCGAGAACGGCTTCTGCGAGTGTCGCGGGATCGGTGGTGTCTGCGTCGGCGGTGCTGTCTGCCGCTGCTTGCAGGTCGTGCTCGGCTACGTGTGTGTCGACGGCGTCTAGTGCTCACGGTGCGAGTTCTGCTGCGTGTGGGTGAATGCCGTCGTCTGCGTGGCAGCGGAGGGTGATGGGGAGAAGTACGGGCTGCGAGCTGGTCAGTGTCTGCCGATCCCGTATCTGGGGGTGGTTGTGCGGGTGGCACTGTATTGGCGGAAGGGGTGTTGGCTGTGTTTGTTGGTTGTTGTTGTTGGGGCGTCATTGCCGGTGTCTGCGGGGCAGTGTGTGCAGCATCGGCAGTGGGAACACTGGTGGGGTGGGGTTGTGGAGCTTGTTGAATTGTTGTTGGCGGCGGTAAGTGGGATTGTTGAATGGGTTGTGTGGGAGGTGTGGGAGGGATGTTGCAAGGTGCAAGTTGGGGTTGTGGGGCAGGTGGTGTAAAAGGAAAGTTGAATGTGGTAGGTTGGGCCTGATGCTGTGTCGAAGCAGATGGGCTCACGGGAAAAGCTGTTGGATGGGTAGGCAAAAGAGCAGGGTTCATGAACGGTGTGGGGTGTTGTGACATGAATTGCTGGGGTGGAGGTTGTTGTGGCATCTGGGGTTGTGGTGTGCTGAGATGTGTGTAGATCGTCGGATGCTGTGGAATAGGAGCGGTGTGTCCACACGGCATCATGGGGAAGCCGTGCGTTTGTTCAAGAGGAATCGTAGTGGGTTGTGTCGGCAGTGTGGGCTGCTGAGTGGCAGCGATGCCGGTTGGCATCATTGCTGGGTAGCTTTGAGACTGCGGTACCCAGGTGTTCTGGTGAAATTGATTAAGCACCGGTCGGGCTGTTGGTGCATATGGTGTTGCTGGTGGCTGCGCGGCAAAATAATCCGGCCACATAGCTGCAACGAAGCGGGTGAAACACACACAGTTGCACAAGCAAAGTGCAGGCTGTCCTGATTGTCCCTGCTGGACTGATTTGAGAGGTCGTAGACGGAGAGAAGGAAGGAAGAGGGCCGAGTACTCTCCGAAGAGAGCGCTGCTTCACTTGCTGTAGACATCTTTACCACGTCTGCACTCATGTCAGATGCACATGCCCTTGCAGTCCCTGAGTAATAAAGAAGCGGAAAAAAACGGGGCAGACTAGAGAGGTAGCACCTGCTCACTAGACGCACATTACTGCATTAGCCGTCCCTTACTGCGACTGCACTCATGTCAGACTCACATGCAAGCATCAGAGAGAGAGAGATAAAGTAGCATCTGGAGAATCTGAACGATCTGAACGAAGGCTGAACACCCGGTTCATCACCGGTCTCCCCGGAGGGTCACCACGGCGCCATGACGGAAAGCCGTTGCTCTGGAGTCTCATAGACCCACGCTGATCACACTGATGGATTCGGCCAAGAGTACGAGTGCAAGAGGAAAAAGAGAGGCATGTTGTTCATGTTGTAAAAGCTTGTCAGATTGTGGCAACCGTACAGCTTGTTTGTTGTCAAATCAACCGTCAAAAATGGCAACTGAAAACTCTCTAATCTTGGCACAGGGGCCTTCTAATCGGGCTGGCACAGGGGCCCCAGCTCAAGGTTTTGCAGGTACGCCGAGTTGATCAGACTCGGTATCCCATGACTGTGGTAGCTTCGTTGAGTGCGGTTCCACAGCCATGCCGCACTCCCCTGCAACATTTGATTCGGTAAATGTCAAATGTCTGATTGAGTTGAAAAGCAAAAATTGCAAACAGTGTAGGAGTGACCCTCCGCTCCCATGTGCTAGGGAGGTTCACACACACACACACACACACACACACCCGCCCCTGCCCGCGCACGCGCATTCTGACCAAACTGCCGTGGTGGCCAGCTACGTCAGGACGTACGGAGAACAAGGACGTGCCATAGGCGATCGTGGTGGTTGCCGTGAGTCGTGCTGATATGGTTTCCCAAGTGCAGATCGCATTTCAGATCTGTGAATCTTGTGGCACTCGGTCTTGGCACTCCTTCCAGATCTGTGCGAGCAGTCAATTGTTTACTAAGCTTGAAGCAGGAAGGGTTCAAGCTCAAGCGACGAGCTGTAAGGCCATACTTGCTATTCCGTGCATGCTGGAAGGTGACACGGACAAGATCGTCCCAAAGAATACTTATGGCATGACCAAGGCGGTGTGCGAACTATTGGTGAACGACTATACCAGGCCTTGCTTGATGTGCACGTGTGACATCTCTGTGGTTCTGGGACCGAAAGTGCTCTCCCGCAGGAAAGGCTTCATAGACGGTCGCACGGCAAGGCTCCCCACCGTCATCGTGCGACCTGGAGCGAAGCCCAGAAACACGATCGTTATTTCTAGGAGTATGAGGCCTGAGGATGTAGGCCACCTTATGGGGATGTAGAGTAGTAGGAGTAGTAGGAGTAGTAGGAGTAGCAGGATTAGTAGGAGTAGTAGGAGTAGTAGGAGTTGTAGGAGTAGGAGGAGTAGGAGCAGCAGGAGTATGACGAGAGTTGGTGTTTGAGCAGGTAGGAGTGCGGGGTTAGTTGCAGTAGTAGGATTAGTAGTAGTACTGGGAGTACTGGCAGAGGAGGAGGAGTAGCTTTCGCGGAAGTTTAGTAGCATGCAAAGCAATGACCAGCATGTGCGTGAAGTCTAGATCCAGGCCGGCCCAATGCCGCAACGACCAGTTGCTTCTCAGGCTGATGGGCTGCAGCTTTAAAAGCACATAAGCGTGCACATACACACACGCACAGAGCTTTCATTTGGGCTTAGTCAGTCGGTGTTCTGTTTTTGCATAGCTGCGACAAGTTGCATCTGTGATGGGCAGCACAGTCATGTTCTGCTGAATTACAGGAGTCGTGAGAGAGCCGCTCCATGGTGAAGATGCTGTGCTTCCTGTGGCAAGGACTGCAGCTTTCGGGAGCATTCATGGCAAAGAATTGGTACATGGACTCGGCCGGACTTTCAATCCTTGCTGACAAGAGCTGGGAGTTTCTCGAGAGTAAGAGGTACCTTACATTGGGGTCCTTAAAATAAGGATGCTACTATTTAGGGTATATACTATCATGATTAGGTTCCCCTGTGTTCGGAAACCCCCAACCCTAAACCCTAAACCCTTTATAGAACTCTTATAGATCCCTTAAAGGATCATTTTAGGGTTCCCCAAAGTTATGCTTGGCAAAGACAGGATGCTGCCCCACTCTGTGACAAGCACACGAGCATTGATCTCCAACCTCGTGGCTCGGACTTGGACTTGCTGCCGCCGTATGTATGTATGTATGTCTGCAAAAACATATTGTGTATACATGTAATATGATGGAATTCAACATACCTTTGTTTACACTCCAGTGATGGGTGGATGGATGGATGGACGGAGAGAGGGAGGGAGGGAGCGAGGGAGGCATGGATGGATGCATGTCTGAGACACATACACACACACAGACATACTCTCTATCTCCCTTATACTAAGTGTATGTACGGTCTGTTTGTATGTGCGTGCATACACGCACATACAGACAACCAAACGTCTGTCCTTCGCGAACAGACGGCGACACAGAGATTTCCTCGAAATCGTCTTGCTGGTCTTAGAATGCAACCAGGGCAAGGTTCACCTAATTCTGAACCTCGAACCCGAAAGTGCCGAAAAGCTCAAAAAGAAGGTAATTCTTCATGATGTAATGCAGCATACCTTTGTTCGAAGGTAATTCTTCATGATGTAATGCAGCATACCTTTGTTCGAAGGTAATTCTTCATGATGCTGATTGGCCGAAGACGTTGACAGACCGCTCAGCAAATCTGCCTTCCAGGTGCCCTTCCCGTGTTTCTGCCAAAACTTTAGGCTTTGAGGTCTGTAGGGCTCTAGGTGTCAGGTTCGCAGCTTCGTGTTCAGCGTGCTTCTTGTCAGAAAGATGCACAGGAAAGCATGCTGCCTGCTGTTTGCGAGCTCATGACAGTTGTTCGTTGGGACTCGCTGTGGCTGTAGCAGGTTTTGTGAAACAGCTGCGGCGCAGCATTTTTTACTCCCCAACTTGCCTGACGAACAACTGGAATGCGGAGGCCATGTACGCTGCAGCAGCTGATTGATGCGCTCTACGAAGCTCCGCTGAGAAAGCTACAATGCAGCACACGTGTAAAGGGTGGCCCAAACACGCAACATGCGCTTGAGGGGTTCCTTTTGGAGATATCTTTCGATAGCTCCCTGAACCCGAAATCCTCGGCTTCATGTGCGAGCTGGCAAAGGGCCGGGCTTCCAGAGCTTCTCTCCGGAATAGACGCTTCGTAGAGTCTTGTTGCGCAAGGAGGTTGTGCCTGAGGACGAGCATACCAAGCTGGGAAAGATCGTCGACAAGGAGGGGGATGCTCCGAATGTTCTTGCTGTGCCACTCCGTCTCGTCTTGCCATTCAATGGCGATCCAGCCATGGGAAGAATCCCACCTTGCTGCACTTCAGCAGCGACGAGTCCTGTCCTCTGCCACAGGTCCTCCTCGCAAATACCGCAACCCACAAATAGAAAACAAGGCGCAAGCAGCTCCTCCTGGCAGGAGGATGCCTTCCTCAGCCGCGTCGTGGGCAGCATGGGCTCCAACCTCTCTTACGAGCGTGCGCGGGAGCGAAGGGTCCTCGATTTCCCTGGGTCTTGTTGTTGTCAACATTAATCCGACGTGGATGTTTCAGTATTGGTACCAGTCAGCCGCGGGGGCCCAGGCACATGTCTAAGAATTCGTCATCATAGCAAGAACCACAACACCGGTAGCAGCCACAGTACGAACATGAGCAACACCTGGAATACGATAAAGTTGGTGATCGCTGAGGTTTCCACGGACCGATGTGCCTGACAGCAGGAAGATAAAAATGGAGTCGACTCAGAGCCGAACAGAAGTTGGGCCTTGAGAGCAGGAGCTGCGAATGCTTGCCGTGCCGGACTTGAAAACCGCGCCTTGGATCGTAAAGCCTTGTCAAGTTTTTGGTTGTAGGTCGGGCTACATACACTGCTGGCTGCTACCGTGTAGTTCCGCAGCCGGGGAACATGCTGGAAGCTTGTATTTAGCGAAGCCAGGTGATTGAGGAGTTTCTGGAGGACTTCGGTGAGCAGTCCGTCGTCTCACGCAAGAGACGGAAGATTGCGTGAGGAAGCGGAGCAAAAAGTCATCTCCACATCCGTCTCTTCAGGAAGATAGAGTTCAAGCTACAGTTGGGTGCAGCAGCCAAAACGAAGTATGGTCTGCGTTGCGCCAAGGTGCAGGCTTTGCTGTCCTTTCAACGGTTTGTGCGATTTCGTCTGCATGTTTTTCTGGACTTGGAAGCTCGTTGTTCTTCTTTCAGGCTTGCATGGTAGATATCATCAACATCTGACCTTGGCCACATTCTCGACCTTAACAGAAGAAAACAAGCCTGAAAGCACCAAGAGTAAAGGAATCCCCACCTTCTGGTGTCCTGTCATCCATCCCTTTGAGGCCAAGTGCTTGCTTTCATGAGCCGGTCCACCCGAACCCTGAACCCTAAACCCTAAAACCTAAACCCTAAGCCCTAAGCCCTGAACCCTAAAACTCCTGAACCCCAAGCCCTAAACCCCAAACCCTAAACTTTGCCGCAGGTACCCCTAATTTTCGGAAACTCTAAACCCTGAACCCTTTATGGAACCCTTATAGATCCCTTTAAGGAACCCTTTAAGGGTAACCCTAAACCCTAAACCCTAAACCCCCTAAGCCCTATAAACCCCGAAACCCTAAACCCTAAACCCCTAAACCCCTAAACGCAGGTACTGGAACAATCGCCCCTTTGGGCTACCACGCTGCCTCGTGCGGCGCCGCGGGAGTTTCAAGCCATGGCCTTGGGGCCTGCAGCTTCATATATTATAGTAAGTAAATATTGTAATTTTTCTTTTATTATGTATTCTATAAATAAATAAATAAACAAATAAATATATATATATATATATGTATATAAATAATATGTTATGCTATCTTCATATTATGTGGAAGATCCGACTCGAGTCAGGAAAAGGGCTTGAGTGGGCGAATTCAGGAAGCAGCGGAGCCTTGTCTTTTGGAAACAGACAGCTTTGTTCAGGGTTTAGCAGTCTGATGGGGGCCCCCTGTAGTCTGAGTGTGGGTGCTGTGTGGTCCGACCCTGGCCTCCTTACGTTCGTCTTGTTCGCGACTCCGTTTCCGGACTTGACACTGAACGTTTCGGGTATCCGGTTATCCAAGTGTTTGGTGACAGCTTGCTTTAGGGCCACCTCTGTTCCCCAGGTCGACGTGTGGCCAAGCGAAGGCGACTTGGAGCCGTCTGGGCTCTCAGCATGTTTTGGAGGTTCTGCAGTTACGAGCTATTGCCAGGCCCCTGGAACTCCTCTGCGGGTTTAGGGTTTGCCTTCTAAACCCTAAACCCCGCTATATCCCAAATACTTCTGCCCCCAGCCCAGGAGCCAGTCGAGTTTGTGGTGTAGAAGACTTTGCCGGGTGACTGTGAAATTCTGAACCTAACCCTAAACCCTAAACCGCACAATGGTTTAACCAATACTTCAGAGCGGTCGTGCCTCGAGGTTGTTTACATTAGCAGGTCTACTAACCTTGAGTCTAAACCACATTGATGTCCCAAGCTATCCAACACCCTAAGCGGGTAACTTCCAGCCCCTCCAACCTTAGAGACGAGCTTGCACGCGCCCCTCAACCCCAAACCCTAAACCCTAACCCACTCCAACCCTAAACCCTAAACCCCTCCACCCTTCTCAGGTACGCCGTCACTGTGGGGTCCTACGAGTACCAGCTGACTGGGCTTCGAAGTCAGGCCCCTCCGCCCTGAGATCGGACTGCACTGACCGTACCTGCTATACCATACCAGACTCTGCTTTCCGACAACAAAAATGTCTACATTTACATATGTGTGTATACATACAACATCATATGAGCATCATTTCATATAAGCATTATATTCGCTTCAACTCAATGTCAGATTGCTATCGTAGGATCTTTGGGGCAGCTGTGGGCCCTGAGAAAAGCTTAGGGCGCAGGGGGGGCTGGGGGCTTTTGGGCTCCGGGTTCGGGCGCTTCGAGACGAGAATTCCGCCGAAGCTCTGTGACCCCAGCTTTCATCATAGTAATCATAGCAATTATAGTAATCATACTAATAATAGAAGGACTTTAGACTTGCAAAATCCCATTCGAAGCATCAGGCCTGAAATTTGCGAAGAGCTATACAGGCAAGAGATTGGTTTGAGGCTTTAGAGTTTTAGGGTGGATACACACTATACCCCAAACCGAAAAACCCTTTACCCGAAACCCCAAACCTTAGTGAAAAGAGCCGTGTCGGCCTGGTACCGTCTAGGTTCACACGGAGGCCAAGGTCGAAGTCCTTCTCTGCCGCGCCGCTCATGACCTGAACATGTAGGGGCCCTGGGGGTCTTTCGCTTTCCGCGGTTTCAGGCTTAGTGCTCGGGCTTCAGCTCGCAGGGCTGAACCCTAAGCCCTAAAAGGGTTTAGGTTTAGGGAAAAATCCTAAACCCTAAACCCCAAACCCTGAACCCCAAGGCTCTCAGACTTCAGGTCCCAAGGCATGACTCCGGCCATCGCAGCCACGTGGCACCGGCAAGATGGAAGAGTGACAGTTCGTGGGCGGTCGGTACCTGTGGAGCTCACTGCATAAGGTTGGAGGGTCTGGCGGTTTAGGGTTTAGGGTTTGACAGGTCTGGATTTCGGCCTAGTGTAAGATTTGCTGGAATTTTGGAAGTATGCAAGTTTGACGTTGCTGTTCGTAGGGCCCTTCGAAACCAGGGTTTTTTTGAAGAGCGCCGATGAAAGGCAAAATGCTCACAACCTCCACACCATAAGATCGCAATGCTATCACAACGCAAAGGCTTCTCCCTCAGCGTCTGCTCTCAGAACCCCTGGGCCTTGCCGACCAGCGCGCAGCATTGAGTCGGGTAGGTGATGTCCGTGCTCTCCAGCTGGACCTGACAAAAAAAGCGGCTCATCCGCTTGGCCGGAGGCTACATATTTCCACGAAACGTCGCGGCCCAACCCTAAACCCCTAAACCCTAAACCTTGAACCCTAAACCCCTAAACCCCTGAACCCTGAACCCCTAAACCCCCGGGATCTCGGAAGGGCCTTCTCGTCAGCGTTGACACCGATACGGCCACTCGGAGCCATGGTGTCGACCAAGAGAATCCTCACAGGCTGGCTGATGGAATCGTTTAGGGTTTAGGGGTTCAGGGTTTAGGGTTTAGGGGTTTAAGGGTTTAGGGGTTTAGGGGTTTAGGGGTTCAGGGGTTTAGGGGTTTAGGGGTTTAGGGGTTTAGGGGTTTAGGGGTTTAGGGGTTTAGGGGTTTAGGGGTTTAGGGGTTTAGGGGTTTAGGGTTTAGGGGTTTAGGGGGTTAGGGCGCGGTCAGAATGTCGAAGCTGCGTGCCGACCTCTCATGCAGGGCACATGAGCGTTTTCGGCCCATCCCAAAAACAGCAAAACTCGTTTCAGGCACCATAAGCCGCTAGATCGCATGATGCGTTGCCGTCATCGCTGTTGTCTGTGCCCGGAATTCAACGTGTGGCAGCTGAAGGGTGACGATCCGCGATGAGCGCCGACGTCGTAGAAAGATGCGCTTGTTGAGGATGTCTGCGGCACACCCTGCGGAGCTTTGCTCTTTTGTTTTGCTTTACGGGGTAGAGCAGGTACGCGGCAGAGGGATCGGAGTTCGGAACCTTGAGCCGCATGTTCGTGTCACCTCTGGGCCGTTGGCGGCAGCATACCAGCATCCTTGGTAAGATAGAAAATCCTGCAGCTTCAACCGTGTTCATCTGCACAACGAATCCAGAACTTAAGCCGTAGAGCCCCCAAACCTTTGAACATAGAACCCGTTGAGATCAGAAAATCCAGTCACCATGCATCCCCGGCCACCCTAAACCCTAAACCCTAAACCCGAAACCACTTGCGCCACCCGCGCCATGAGCTTCTTGTGCAAACGGAGCAAAGAGGCTGAGTTCGAGGTGAAGGCCCTCCCAAGAACTCAGCACAAGTACTCGTAGCCGTAGAAGTGGAGCTGCGTTTTAGGGGGCTGAGGGTTTAGGGTGTTTAGGGGTTTAGGGTTTAGGGGTTTGGGGTGCAGAGGTTTAGGGTTTAGGGTTTAGGGGAGCTTCAGACGCAGGAAGAGTGGCAAGCAGCAGGAGAGTTATTAGCAATACCTGGTGTTGATGATATGACGGGGGATCACCGTCTTGGCTGTCGCCGCAGTCGCCAGCATTGTCATCGTCTTCGTGGTCCTTGTCCCGATGGCAATCGTGGTGGTTCTCATAGTCGTACGTAGCGGCGTATGTAGGATATAAGAAGCAATGGAAAAGATGCATATGTTCGGTTTTCACTCATGACTCACGATGCATGATGCAAGCAAGACATGAAAACATGGTTGCCAGTCTCGATTTGGGGTCATTGTCGTAGAGCGTGGACTGACCATAGTAGCCATCATTACTGAAACAGTAACCTACAGTGATCATGATCGCCAGTGTGATCGGATGTACCATGGTGGCCACCATGAGAAGGATAGCTGTTGCAGAGTTGCTGATCATCTTGGTCGCCACTAGGTGATAGGAGTTCGGCCTTGTTGGAGCTTTCGGGTATGATCGAGACTGTGCCCAGATACAGCAGCTGGAGAGCGATACGGCACTTCGGCTGCACATGCCGGGCAGCCGCCACAAAAGCATGCTTGGTTCGTTCATGTAGGTATGAACGTGTATCTGCAGGTTCCAGCGTTTTCTTGCTGTTGTTTCTAGTCTGGGCTCCTCTTGTGACGTCTCAGTTGGACCGATGCACGCGCAAGCAGCAGCTTAAGAGAAAGCAGCTTTCGAGCAGAGCCCCTCAAGCGCGCGGACGGTGATGCGGCCTCCTTGTTGCGTGTCGATCCTAAGTCCCTGCGTGAGCGCGCATCTGAGGCAGATTTGCGCGAGGACTTGACAAATCTCTTCTCCAGGCAAGCGGCTTTTCGCTCCCAGGTGATGTGGCAGGCGGTTTTTTCGCCGGAAGTAGGCCGTCCAAAGCTTTCTTCCTCCAAACACTAATTAATTATTCCAATTGTAAA